AAATTATTCATATTTTAATTAATTACTTACATACGACGATTTCTCAAATTTAATACTATATGTTTATATGAAAAGGTGCACCAGTTTCTCGATTCATTCGAAAAACTAAGATTCTGGTAGAAAATTCAGTTTGCGAAGTTTTAATAATTTACCTAGTTAATAGAAATTTTCTAATAGAAATGTTATTCAAAGAAAATCAAGAATAATTTCCTCTGGGATGACAATTTGTCACCAAATGTCCCTAGATGGTATTAAATATTACTAGAAGAATATTCATCGTTTAAATACCTTCATATTCGAATGGTTCGTTTAAATGATTTCAAAGACAGCAAAGGCACATGGTGAATTATACTTAGTTACAGACGTCAAAATTTGAATACCTCTGCGGTGAACAATAACCCGGAAGATGGCTCCATTCGAGCGGTCACGCGTCACAGCGGCATGGCGCGAGATAATTGGCAGCCTGTTAATGAACAGTCATTGCCAGTCCCTCGAATTTCCACGACGACCAGTTACAAATTGCCGCAATTATGAAATCGAATGGTTACTTTGACTCTGACTCTGACGGTTCCACTGTATTTACACGAAATTCTGTACAAAAATCGCCAGATTTGCCGCTCGGACTTAAAAACAGATTCGAAGCTAGAAATTTCTCTAATTACGAACTTTAGAAATTGCGAGAGCTCGATAAATTTGTCACTACGTTAATTTCAGATTTATTTTAAACGTTAGAATTAGTTTTAGATTGTTTCAAGATCAACTTCAAACCAATGGTTAGAAACTCGAGATTTTATTGTGAGAAAATATCTAAATCTGGTTCTTTCTCACGGTGACAAGAAAGATCACGTCCACGGTGAGCAGGTTCGAGTTCGATTTCTAGAAACACTAACTAAGGGCTTATCGTGCTAATTTCCCCCTTGCACAATGAAACTGATATTACTAGAAAAATTTTACTGAATTAGAAATTACTACTAATTAATACCTCGAATGAAACTCAACTCTTTATTTAATTCTTGCACAATGTAACTACACTCTCGGAAGTTTTATAACAAAAATTGAAAATATTCTGCAAGACATATATATAGAAAAATGCTTTATAATCAGGATTTCGTTTGCTCGCAAGTTAGGTCAGAAAAACGTTGCCAGATTGTATTAAATTTAATCCAATTTAATCCAATTTTAAATCTGAGAGCTGATAATTGTTACAGGCAAGCAAATTTTGTACAAGATACTACGCAAAGTTGACAAGAACACAACAGTGGCAAAGTCACTGGGGGCAATTATAAAAGATCCGAAGGCCCCACCTTCGATTGTTTAGTCTGATTTATGTACAGGTGCATTCACGAAGCGTGTTCTCACGACTGTCCCACTTACGAAACGCAAATCACGTGAAACATCACGCTGTTGTGTGATATCGAGCCGATATGATCGCTATGATTTCCCTCGTTTTCCACGTTCCAGATACTTTCGCGCGAAACTTTCTTTCCGGCCCGTAAAAGTCGTCGATAAGCGAGATCCCACGTAAATCCTATCCAAATCTCAAATATTCGTGTTTATCGAATCCTCCGTATTATCAAACGTAATTTCGTTCGGTAAAAATCAGCTTTATGACGCGTTAATCAGCGTCCGAGAACGATCTGAATAGAAAGCTGCACGTGATGCATGCCTTTTAATAAGCGTGACTGGTAGAGAAGCGAACCTAACCTCGCTAAATTGTCGTTGAGCACGAGATCGTAATAATGAGCGTAACGAGCCTATGTTGTGCAGAGGAGGATTGTGTAAATGTGTTTTACACAAATTGAAGATTTTTCTTTTTTACAATACTTGAAGTCGTTCTTTTTTAATTGAAAATAAATATGGAATCATATGTACACAAGAAGTTAGGTTATGGTTAAGAGATATTTCGACTTCAATATGGCATCATGACAATGTGCACTATATTATTATATTATTATATTATATTAAATTATACTATCATACTATACTTATAACTATATTTATAACTTATACTATACTTATAATATACTTATAACTATATTATACTATTAAATTATATTATTATATTATAATATAATTTATGACGTACATATAAATTTATGATATATAATTATGTGATATATGAAATATATAAACATGTAAACATAGATATAAACATACTCAATCCTATAGTAATTTAATATAGTAAACGTTGTCACGATACGTACGCCATATTGGAGTTAGAGTATCTTTTAATCTTACTGTACTATCTCAAATATTTTGGTCAAACTTTATACACGTGTTTATGTTTGAAACAAGGAATTGTAAACGGATGATAATATATTGACGATAACATGACGATTAAATTCCCTAGAAATTTATCTAGAGAAAATAACTTTCTCATACAAAGAACCACTGAGTTAGCCAAATTAAATATAGATCACTCTGTATTATACTATGGAATAAAAATTTTGAAATTCAATTACTATTCAGTATAGCCTCAATTAATAAAATGCTTTTGAATGATGAAAACAGTAACTTTTCTGCTATTACGGTGGACAGACGATATAGTTCGAATAGACACCGTTAACCCAGTCGATAAAGGAGAAAAAAAGAATGGAATTGTGTCGTTTTGGAGGCCGGTCAGCGGACATTCACCGCGAACTTGACCCACTGTCATACTTGTAACTCGTGTGACTGTGTGAGAGAGATAAGAGAGCGATCCGTGCGATTAATTTATAATCGAAGCGATAATTAATCAAGTATTTTGTAACAAAATATCGCAATCGAAGACAAGTATCTTCTGATCGCGTCTTCTGATTACCTCAAGTGTTTTTAAATTTCGAGGGCTCTGATGAAATCTTCGATATCTTCGATAGCTTGACTGTTTCCTAATTGCGTCTTCTTATATCGTCCGATAACTTGAAACTGATGTTTATTTAAGTAGAGATCAAGTCTATCGACATACAATCTTATTCTCACTTCGGATAACTATCTAAATTATTGTCGCATTTTGAGCTAATAATTTAAATTCTATTTAAAATTCAACGTGATTGGCCATCTTGGAAAAATAATACGTGGACCGAATTGAAATTAATCGTTTGTCAATTGTTCTCACACGAAAATCTAAATCTGATCTATTCTCGATCGCATTGTCGTCACCATATACTTGTATATCGTGCAACGCGAATCAAAGTCGCTTAAGCGCGATGAAATTACGCGGGACGAGCGTTTCTTTTTTTTCTTTCTTTCTTTTTTTTCTTATTTAGATATTCGGGGAATTTATCGAGCGAGGAGATGCTCGGGCGAACGTGTTGCGGAAAGCGCGGAAGCGACGTTAATTGGAGCGTGGAACGCTCGTGCAAGAAGTAGTCCTCGATCTTGGGAGCTTTCGCGCGTGCTCTTGTCGAATCGCGTGGTATACGGGCCGTGGAACGACTAAACTGCGGCGAGACAGAAATTAATTCCGTGCGCGCTTTCTACTACAATTCCCTCGGCACGCTATTAATTCGAGAGGGACTCTATTGTTTCAGTTTCCACCGCATCGAGATATCTAATGCCCGGCCAACCTGTAAATCACGTGGTACAACGCTACATTTTCTAAGCTGTACACATACATCAGGGGAAAAAATATCAAATAATTATGTCGAATGCGTTAGAAATCATTGTTTCAAGATTTCGGGAATTTGAATGTTAGGTCGCAAAATAATAAATATTTTACGATCAACTCATCAAGTGGTATTGCCGGGTTACACATGAACAGACTAATTCGTCCAAGATCTTTATTTTCTATGTATATGATGGAGATTAGTGATAAACTTTAATTAAGTAAAAGAATTCCCAAATTAAATAATTCAAAATGTGAACTCCAATAGCGATCTTAATAAGCTAAATTTTGCTTATGGTACTCCATTGGGTACTAAAACCCAAGATTGAATTATTTAATTTCGGAATTTATTTCTCTGTGTCCTACAATGAATTTAAGACACAAAACAAAATGAAATATTCTAAATTTCAGTGATCTATAATAGCATCAATTGTTATCCATGTTACCCAAATATTATTACTATTCGTACCATTTGAAATTGAAAAAATATAATTATATAAAATTATACTGTAAAAAAATGTAGTATAAGTGTAGCATACTATTTTAATAAAAAAAAGAAGAAAGTAACAGACTTTGGACTGATTTACAGCATGACTATAATAAAATACTACGCACGAAGGTATCAGAGCTAAAGAAACCTTACCTTACATACGTATATACTCTCGTGTAGATCGTGCGAATTAAATAAAGTTCCATCGTATTTCACGCGAATTAACTGTCCATACGTTACGTTAGTGAAAAATCGATCGTTATCGGACTTTCTATCGTTACGTTTTCTTTTTTTCTTTTTCCTTTTTTTTTTTTTTTTTT